TATGTATATATATCATTTCAGGATTCATATATGTATATATATCATTTCAAACTTCATATATGTATGTATATCATTTCAGGATTCATATATGTATATTTATCATTTCAAAATTCATATATATATCAAGCTAGGATATTATTAAAGGTTTCATATATATATATATATATCATTTCAGCATTCATATATGTATATATATCATTTCAAAATTCATTTATGTATATATATCATTCCAAAATTCATATATATATCAAGTTAGGATGCATATAAATATTATTTCAGGATTCAATATATATATATCATTTTATGATTCGCATTTATATATATATATCATTTCAGAATTCATAGATGTATGTATATCATTTCAGGATTCATATATGTATATATATCATTTCAGATTTCATATATGTATATATATCATTTCAGGATTCATATATTAATATATATCATTTCAGAATTCATATATGCATGTATATCATTTCAGGATTCATATATGTATATATATCATTTCAGGATTCATATATGTATATATATCATTTCAAACTTCATATATGTATGTATATCATTTCAGGATTCATATATGTATATTTATCATTTCAAAATTCATATATATATCAAGCTAGGATATTATTAAAGGTTTCATATATATATATATATATATCATTTCAGGATTCATATATGTATATATATATCATTTCAGGATTCATATATGTATATATATCATTTCAGGATTCATATATATATCTATATGTATCATTTCAGGATTCATATATATGTATATATATATCATTTCAGGATTCATATATGTAAATATATCATTTCAGGATTCATATATGTATATATATATATTTCAGGATTCATATATGTATATATATCATTTCAGGATTCATATATGTATATATATATATTTCAGGATTCATATATGTATATATATATATTTCATTTCAGGATTTATATATGTATATATATCATTTCAGGATTCATATATGTATATATATATATCATTTCAGGATTCATATATGTATATATATCATTTCAGGATTCATATATGTAAATATATCATTTCAGGATTCATATATGTATATATATATCATTTCAGGATTCATATATGTTTATATATCATTTCAAGGTTCATATATGTATATATATCATTTCAGGATTCATATATGTATATATATATCATTTCAGGATTCATATATGTATATATATCATTTCAAGATTCATATATGTATATATATATCATTTCAGGATTCATATATGTATATATATTTTCATATATATATCAATTTAGAATTCATAGATGTATGTATATCATTTCAGGATTCATATATGTATATATATCATTTCAGAATTCATATATGTATATATATCATTTCAGGATTCATATATTAACATATATCATTTCAGGATTCATATATGTATGTATATTATTTCAGGATCATATATGTATATATATCATTTCAAGATTCATATATGTATATATATTATTTCAGGATTCATATATGTATATATATATATCATTTCAGGATTCATATATGTATATATATCATTTCAGAATTCATATATATATATCATGTTATGTTGATTGTGATGCATATATGTATCATGTTGTGTTAATTGATGCACAAATGTATCAAGATGTTAATTTTAATTGGTTAATAAATGTATTATGCTGTATTGGGTGTTTCAGATATGTATCATGTTATGTTGATCGATGCATATATGTATTATGATGTGATGCATATATGAATCATGATGTGATGCATACATATATTATGTTGTGTTGATTGATGCATATATGAATCATATTGTGTTGATTCATGCACATATGTATCATGATGTGTTAATTGATGCAAATATGTATCATATTGTGTTGATTGATGCACATATGTATCATGATGTGTTGATTGATGCACATATGTATCATGATGTGCTGATTGATGCAGATATGTGTCATATTGTGTTGATTGATGCACATATGTATCATGATGTGTTGATTGATGCATATATGTATTATGTTGTGTTGATTGATGCACAATATGTATGTTTCATTTTGAGTGGATCATTAAATATATGTATCATTGTTAGGATTGATGCATATGTTTTTTAATGATATAATGATATCATGTACCGCTTGCTTTGCAAACGGCTTATAAGTTGTAATGCTTTACATTTACAAAAAATCAACGGAGTATTTGTCAACTAAAATATAAACTTACGCTGATCAAATAATAAATATATTTAGGTATTTATTACGCTGTAACAATGGTGCTAACTACAGCTGCAACAGTTCTTGGTGTTATTGTACTAAGGAAAGTTTATTACTAACTAAAGATTAAATCAAATCAAATGTCTTTTAACAATTTATGCAGAATTTTAATTTAATCTATAAAGTATATAGTACAGATACATATAGGTAGCAAATATAGAGGCCCTATAGTAAATCTAGATAAATAAGGTTGTACTTGGCTCATAAAGCTAAATGTGCCCATTGATAAATACGTATATCATGTATTGCGATTAACCCAATTTATATACTTAGATATATATATAACTCCGTCATACCCATAAAGTGATTGCTTAACTACGTTATATTTAACAGGGCATAACTTGAAATTACGCTAATCTAATTCTAATTCTAATCTAACATTAATTAATAGCTGATCGCACCCATTGATTTGGGGTTGATAGATTATTTGCTTGTGTCCATGTAGACATTGATATCTGATTGTGCCCATTGGTTTGGCATTGATCGATTATGTGCTTGTGTCCGTGTAGACCTTGAAAGCTGATCGTGCCCATTGGTTTGGCATTGATGAATTGAGTGCTTGTGTCCGTGTAGGCCTTGATAGCTTATTGCGCCCATTGGGTTGGCGTTGATCGATCTAGTACTTGTGTCTGTGTAGTCATGGATAGCTGATCGCACCCATTGATTTGGCGTTGATCGATCTAGTACTTGTGTCTGTCATGGATAGCTGATCGTGCCCATTGGTTTGGCATTGATAAATTAAGTGCTTGTGTCTGTGTAGTCATGGATAGCTGATCGCACCCATTGATTTGGCGTTGATCGATCTAGTACTTGTGTCTGTGTAGTCATGGATAGCTGATCGTGCCCATTGGTTTGGCATTGATAAATTAAGTGCTTGTGTCCGTGTAGACATTGATAGCTGATTGCGCCCATTGGTTTGGGTTGATTGATTTAGCGCTTGTGTCCGTTTAGCCATTGATAGCTGATCGAGCCCATTGGTTTGGCATAAATAGATTTAGTGCTTGTGTCCGTGTAGCCATTAATATCTGATCGAGCCCATTGGTTTGGCATTCATCGATTTAGTGCTTGTGTCCATGTAGCCATTGATAGCTGATCGTGCCCATTGGTTTGGCATTAATCGATTTAGTGCTAGTGTCCGTATAGCCATTGATATCTGATCGTGCCCATTGGTTTGGCATTAATCGATTTAGTGCTTGTGTCCGTGAAGACATGGATAGCTGATCGCACCTATTGATTTGGCGTTGATCGATTATGTGCTTGTATCCGTGTAGACATTGATAGCTGATCGCGCCCATTGGTTTGGCATTGATTGATTAAGTGTTTGCGTCTATATAGACATTGTGAAACTGAATTGTACCTGGATTAAACATTCACTGAACGTATGTAATCTTTAGTAGCTTTCTCATTTTAAAGGGATTGAGTCTATGCCACAAACTCTGATTTGATGATCTCTTTTACTTTTCAATTCCATTTCAAACTGTGAATTCTGTTAGATCAAATAATCTAAGTTTTGAATATCAGAGGTTTACACCATCATCAAGTTGATAAGATACATGGATTAGAAAATTTGAATTTGTGGCAAAGACTCAAACCATTATCAAAAAGTTTCCTGGCTTCTATTCAACGCAAGTGGATTTTACTTGAGCGCAATTGCGAGCCCTGTAATACTGCGCAATTTCGCACAATTCCGCCCATTTCCCTGCAATATTGCGCATTTCCGGGCTATTCCGCGCAATTGAATTCCGATTGTAAACTCTAATTCTAAGCTTCATGGGGGATACACATTATTATGGAAGGTTTTTAGTTACATTTTGTTATCATAGACCTTTTTAGCAGGACACCTTACTTTGAAAACTTTTTTATTTCTCGATTTTTTATTTGTTTAAAAGTAATAATATTTGTTATCAGATTACATCACCAGGGAAGGCGGGGTATTCCTGTTCCAAACTATCTCAGAACTGTTGCAAGGTAAACAATATTAGAATAAACTAACATTTTGCTTGTAATATTGATCTAATAAAAAGCATTTCGAAATGATAAACATTTTGTCCAAAATGAGGAACAAAATGTTAGAGTTTTCTTTACCATTCTGTTGGATTTGATATTATGGAAAAATATTATGATTTCTTATTTGTTTTGAATCTTCATGACAGAAGCAAATCTCAAGAACCCAGACCAAAATTTGTTTTAAAAAATGTGGAAATAACACCTATATTATTTACTCAGTGAGGCTTGGAGCATCTTTAAAGGGAGTGTTCGCGAAAAATGAAAGGGGGTAAAGGCTTAATGCGATAAAAAAGCGCTTTTGATCGCTACTAATCTTACTTCTATTTGTTGCGTCTAAAAGGAGAAAATTGTTAAAAACGATTAAAACCGAAGAACGTAGTGTCCATACAAATTCGGAAAGATGCAACATTCAACTCTGATCGTAAACAAATCAATTTTATTCCAAACAAATCATTAATAGTCATAGATTATTTTTCCACGCATTTGTATATAGTTAATATTTCATAATATTTTTGATTTTTTCAAAAATAATTTTCGCTGGCGCTGGATTTTCGAACATTCCTGGAAAATATGAAAATGTCAAAAAATTTTATGAAATATCAACTATTTACGAATGCGTCGAAAAATAATCGATGACTATTGTTTGTAATATCTGAATGATTTGTTTGGAAGTAAATTCATTTGTCGTACATCCAAAATTAGGTTTTAGATAATTGTACATTAAGCGTTTCAGGTCGTCTTTAAAATCTCATTTTTCGCGGATAACCTTGCACAAAACAGATAAAAGCTGTTACGACGTTTAAAGTGTTTACTCAAAAGTATAAAAATATTTATTTTACTAAACAGAAAAAATTAAGTTTGTTCTGTTTCTGATAAAAATTAGATGAAATTATGACATTTATTTAAATACCGTTTACCCCACTACGCATACACTTTTATTGAGAAGTAGAAAGTGATATGTCGTCTTTTTAAGGCTGAATTTGCTGAATTTTAATATCCAAGAATGTGTTTTTTTATCATTTTCCTTCGTATAAAACAAATTAACAAAATGACAATAATCAATTTCAAAATATAATGTTTCATTGGACACACTTGAAATCTGGTGTCCCAATAAACATAGAAATTTAAGGCACGACATGAAATTGTCTCGCTTTCCGATAATTGATAAATGACAAAGACTCAACGTCTATGAAATTGAAAATATGATCTTCCTTTCTCTTTATTTCTAAGATAGACGGAGATATTAAACATTTGAAAGATTTCGCTTTTATTAAATAGACTAGAAGCTGGACAGATTTATTAATATCTCCGTCAACTTTAAAGGTGCAAATACGGTAAACCACATTTTTGAATTATAAAGACTAGTTGTTTTTATTATTAACTGTCTCAATTGGAATACTATAAAAAATTTAATTCACATGTTTTTTGGGACACCCTGTAAGATCTCGGATCGTTTTTTAGTTGTCTTTTTTATTTATGATTCTATAAACTCTAAAAAATATATTTTGAAAAATAAAAACTTTTTATTGATTATTTTTTGCAGGTGGATGGCGTTCTTCTCCTACTCTAGTTATCCTCCGATAGAAAAACAATTAGAAAACCTAAATAAAGGAACTTACAGGTAGGTGTCTTACAATTCTATTTTACAAGTAGGTTATTTACAATTCTATTTTACAAGTAGGTTTCTTACAATTCTATTTTACAAGTAGGTTTTTTTACAATTCTATTTTACAAGTAGGTGTCTTACAATTCTATTTTACAATAGGTTTTTTACAATTCTATTTTACAAGTAGGTTTCTTACAATTCTATTTTACAAGTAGGTTTCTTACAATTCTATTTTACAAGTAGGTTATTTACAATTCTATTTTACAAGTAGGTTATTTACAATTCTATTTTACAAGTAGGTTATTTACAATTCTATTTTACAAGTAGGTTATTTACAATTCTATTTTACAAGTAGGTTATTTACAATTCTATTTTACAATTAGGTTATTTACAATTCTATTTTACAATTAGGTTATATACAATTTTTATTTTACAATTAGCTTATTTACAAATTACAATTATATTTTACAAGTAGGTTTTTACAATTCTATTTTACATGTAGGTTATTTTACAATTAGGTTATTTACATTTCTATTTTACAAGTTGGTTGTTTACAATTCTACTTTACACAATAGAAACATTTGAATTAAATTCGTTTTTTAATTAGAAACGTAACTTGTAACTAAAGCTGCTATAATTTGAGATCGAATGTAACCTTAAACATTTTTAAAGAAATGTACGTCGAAAAAACGTCGTTATGCATTTCTACTAACATTTTTTGTTAAAAATTTCTCATTTTCAACAATAATAAACCTGCCCTGCTGTCATGTGAGATGCCACAAAAAATTTGGATCCGATTGGTTTAGCTGTTTTGACATTTATTGGATACAGTCAAACAAATACCCAATCTAGCAAAGTAAATATTTATCATGTTTTTACATTAATTTTCAAGAGCATATTAAAATTGTAGTTGGGTATCAAACATAAAAAGAAAGAAAACGAAGAGTGTATATGTAAAATTTATGAATAATCTGTATTCTTTAACAATTCCTATTATGTTGTCGGTATTCGGACTCGGTATACGGAATCCTGTATTCGGTGTTCGGTGTTAGGTGTTGGTATTTATTATACGGTATTCGGAATCTTGCATTCGGTATTCGGAATCTTGTATTTGGTATTCGGAATCTTGTATTTGGTATTCGGAATCTTTTTTTTGGTATTCGGAATCTGTTTTTCGGTATTCGGTATTAGGTATTCGGTGTTCGGTGTTCGGTATTAGGTATCAGGTATTCGGTATTAGGTCTTCGTTGCCATTTTGAAATGCCAAATTTAGCTTGCCGTGTGAGGACCTTCAACCATTTTGGAATTTTGATGATTTTAATGATATTGAAAATAGGTAAGTGTCGGGTTGTATGTATTCTAACTTGCAAATAGAACTGCAGTTAGATTTTATGCATCAATTAAACTGCACCAGGTCCCATGTTGCATCACAAGCACAATATGCATCATGAAGTACGTCATTACTTGTTGCATCACTAGCTCATGTTGAATCACTTGATCAAGTGGCATCGCTAGTTAAAGATGCATCTCGATTTCAAGTTGTATCACGAGTTAAGGTCGCATCACGACCTTAAGTTACATTACAATTTTTCAACTTAGATCACTAGCTTATGTTGCATCCCTTTTTCAATTGCATCACGCTCATAATTTGTATCACGAGATCAAGTTGCATCACAAACCTAAGTTATATTACGAGATTAAGTTGTATCACATGTTCGAGTTGCATCACGAGCTTAAGTTGCATCAGGAGCTCAAGCTAGATCACAAATTTGCAACCCAACCTAAAGTTGCATTGCGCAATAATTTTGCATCACTTGTGCAAGTTGCATCACGATCTCAGTTTTCATCACGGGCGTAAATTGTATTTTGCACATTAACAGATTTTAACAGAAATAAAATTTTATTTGTAAATATAAATATAGAACTTTTATAAATATCTAATCAAAATAACATAATAACATAATAACATAATAATTGACACTTAGATATAGAAGGGGCAATTTGTTTTTTTGGTTATGTTTTTTTATAAAGTAAAAAATTTTGTTACTTTTTGAAATTAAATTTGACAAACACAGATATTCGTTTTCTTTTTGTTTTAAAGGACGAAGAAGAAAATGAGGTGTGGGGCTTAATACCTAATCTCAAGATTAGTACCATTAAGTAATAGTTTATTAAAATTCGAATAAACTTCACACTGTTCAACAATAGCATATTAAACAGATTTTAACTTATTAAATATCAAAAGTGTAAAAATTTTTCACGGATTTAAAACAAAAGTTTCATATATATTAATTCAAACATTCTTCTTTAATATAAACTAATTCAACAAGAAAAATTGGTTAAATTAAAAGTGTCCTTTTCAAAAATTCACGAAAAATCCACGAAAATACATGCCATGTAAGGAAAATACATGCCATGTAAGGAAAATACATGCCATTTACGGAAAATACATGTCATGTATGGAAAATACATGTCATTTATGAAAAATACATGTCATGTACGGAAAATACATGTCATGTACGGAAAATACATGTCATGTATGAAAAATACATGTCATGTATGAAAAATACATGTCATGTATGAAAAATACATGCCATGTACGGAAAATACATGTCATGTACGGAAAATACATGTCATGTATGAAAAATACATGTCATGTACGGAAAATACATGTCATGTACGGAAAATACATGTCATGTACGGAAGACGTTCATATCAAGACATAATCATTTTTTTACATTGACATGCACATTGCACATGCAAGTTTGGGAAAATTTTCATTCAATTAAAATTCTAAATTAATTTTTTTGCATGTCAGACATTTTTTGATCATTTAATTTCTTTTGTTAATTGAATCCAACACCGGAATGAACATTTTAAATCCGGAGGGTTGAAAAGATATTTTTTATGCATTAATAAAAACAAATTTCAGAATAATATTCACTTCATTAAATGTTAACTTTAAAATAAACTGCTTTACATGCCTAACTATCATAATTATTAAAGACCTAGAAATAACGTTTTTTGTTTCTTCTAGACTACGATCTAATCGATCAGGGTTGATTTAAAAGTATCGACTTTTTATACGGGCATATCCGGTTCACTACATATCCGGTTCACTACATCTTCACTAGATAATGTGGATCTTCCTTGATTGAAAAGTTTCAATTAAACAATTTCAATAATTTTTTTTCTGAAGCAGAATTGTGCAAGGTTTTATAGAAAAACACGAATGAAAAAAATCACTTTTTTAAAAGATTGTCATGCACTAGACGAGGGTTTTATTGGCCGATTTTAATTCTAGCAAGCCATTCTTTAAAAAGATCTCTTTACAACTTCTTTTGTTGTTGAAAAAAAAACACACATATTTTCATTGTATAAAGACATTGTATACATACATAAATAATTGTTTGTCAAACATGTTTTACATAAAGATTTCTACATAGCCTGCTAAATAAATTAGTGAAAAAAGTCCATTGCTAGTTAGGGGTTGAGAAGACAACCTTTTTTTTTATAAAAATAATTGATTAAAAAAATGTATCTACTAAATAAAGAATAGTTTGAAATTAACAAATTACTAATCTTAGTTTTTCGTGACATTTATACAAGTTTACTTTTACTTTACGTTTATGAACAAAAATGGCCGTAGTCAGGGCGAACCATAGTTTAAATATCCTAAATAATTATTCTGCAAATTTTTTTTGAATAATCTTGATTTTTATTGCAATATATTAGTTGATATTGGATTTCCTGATTTTTATTGACATTGAAAAATTCTTTAAAATTTGACGATGGATAACATTTTTTGCTTTTTCAGAATAATTTAAAAAAATTGTTTTTAAGGTCTGTGGCCCCAGATGATTACTGTTATAACATAAAGGATTACGATCATATGTTTCCAAAGAAGAAATCTCCGATTTTTAGGAATTTTTCTTTATCTTTAGCTAAAAATAATAAAAAAATATATGTAAATATTTAGTATCTAATGTTATCAGAATTTGAGACTTAATTTTAGGTGAACTTCCAGTTTATTAATGATATCCCTGAGTCAAAACTGTACTTTCCAACCTTTGACTGATCAGCGAGGGTAGAGAACTCAGTGTAAATTAAATGCTGTGGAAAAAGACGTAAAGTTTAATTGTTCAACAATTAAGAGAATAACAAGCATTTCTGTAAATAAACAAGGAAAAGTTGATTATTTTTCATCAGTTAAAGGTTTAAAGGGTATTGTTGTAAATCTAGGATCCCGCTCTTTTTTAACAAAACAATCAATCCGGGGTTTTCTTCTTTTTTTATAATTGATTGTATTCATGAATTTTGTAGCTGATTTATTTCTTAAAACCGGAAATAAATTACAACTTCTTGACGAAATTTCCTGTTCGACAAAAATAAAGAAAACGACAAACATTCCACTGTTTTTTGTTTATCACTGTACTGTATCCGATACAAAAATGCTCTGCAAAATAATTTTACATTTTTTTTTCATGAAAAAGGGATAAGAAAAATTAGACAACGGCCTTGGTTTAACCATAAACTTTTATCGACCACAACAACTAAACCCATAAAAACTAAACTCACAACGCCTAACAACATCAGTACAACAGCTCAACATCATCAACTTCAAGATATACCACATCTAAATACAAAGCCAGGGATTTGCAATCAATATTTTAAGTTTGGACATTTTTTAATGCCATTTTTATATTTTAGCTTTTTCCAAGTGAGTCGAAAAAATCAGCTGTTTTCAAAGGAGGTTGTGGATAACTTAGCAATAAATTTACACTCTAAATGTTGAATGCCACGTAAACCTATAAAAACTAATAAAAATACTTCTAAAAGATCTTGTATTTTATTAGACAAAAATTCCTACTTAAAGCATGTCAAGTGCCAAAAATGTTACAATAAATAATCTATTGATTTCCAAAAAACTGAAAAAATTGTAAAAAGTGGAAAATAGTTTAAACAAAGGAATTTGCCACAAACTCTGATTTTCTAATTCCCTATATCTTTGTCACCCAATGTCATAGACCTTAGATATTTCAAACTTTGAATTCTGTTAGATCAAAGATATTGGGATTCGAAAATTTTAGTTTGTTGCAAAGACTCGATTCTGTTTTCTTTCGTTTTCGGTGTTCTTATAATTTAGGCTTACACATACTAACTGCATCGTGGTTGAAATAGCGTCAATTTTTGGAAAAGCAGAAAAAAATTAATTTGAAGGATCAAATTGCAATCCCTTTTCTGTCTAGTGGTGAAAAAAATTGTGAAAAACGGGAAGCCAGTTTTTTCGCCGAAAGGTAAAATTTGTAAAATTTGTAAAATGTGTAAAATGTGTGATCACTTTAAAGCTTTTTTTTTTATTTTCTTTATTTACATTTTTTTCAGGTTCCCAGAAACTGAGAAAAGCCAAGCTATACAGGAATAAAGATGCTTAGTTTTTTTTGTTAAAAGAATATCAACGCAATTTCAAGTGCCATTCTTTTAAATAATTTCATATCCGATTCACAAGGATACAAAATGAAAATAAAGCAGCAAAAAATGAGATTTTCTTGTTCTTTTTCTGAAAAAAAGGAAGAGATAAAAGAAAGGAAATTAACGAACAAAGATAATATTCAAAAAAGAAAAACAACGATTTTCTCATTATTGTTACACAGATAAAGAATTTAATGGTACTGCTGTGAATCGGGCTTGGAACTCTATGAATAGAAAATCGCTTTCAATCATGTCTGCAGTACTTTAAAACTAAATGATGAATAAATCTTAACGTAATAATATTTCATATAAACTCAATTGTTTTAACCCTGATATCTTTGCAACCTGATGGTGTAAACCTTAGATATTTCAAACTTAGATTATTTGGTCGAACAGAGCTGAAAACTTTAGAATGGTGGATATCAGGATTAAGGCTTAATCTACTCTTTTTCTTAATCTCCAGATTAAATATTGCTTGTTTACCTCGTGACTTTAATCTTCAGATTAAGTTTCCGACGGGATATCTGGATATCTCATTCTAAAGTTTTCAGCTCAGAATTCATAGTTTAAAATATCCATTGAGCTGCATATATATAGGAGTTAGAAAATCCCATATTTTTAATAATACATTTGACAGATTAATAATAAGCATAATTTATTAGTTCTAAAGATAATATTTCAAAGAAAGATTTCTACAATGAAACAGTAAATCAGAACAGGTGCATTCTTATCAATCCATTTTCATTCTTTTATGTAAACTATTCCTTTTAATAATTTTTTATAAGAAACATTAAAAATAATTTATGCCTATTGTAAGTAAAATTATTATCAATGTTCACATGTATTTAACAATTAACAATTAACAATTAACAATTAGCAATTATTAAAGGGGGGTAGAGAGGTGAAAGTGCTGTAGAATAAAATTATAAATCTAAAAAGTAAAAAAGCATTAAAAAATGTTCCAATCTTTTTTTCAAACAGCAATGAAATAATCATTTTTCAGTGTTGTTATACAGATAGAGGACGGAGAAACAGATACTCTCTTGGGACCTAACCCTCTATCTAGAGATCTACTCTATCCTGAACCTAAAAGAGATCTACCCTATGCTGAACCTATGCTAGATCTACCATATCCTGTCTCCCCCTCTCCAACTCCTGACACGAGGGTAAGGAGGTCTGATCCGACCACTGCAGATAGGGGCTTGAGATTGTTGTTCATGCTTTTAAAGGTGATCTTGTCCTTGGCATGTTCATTTTATGTTTAAAGCATGTCAAGTGCATACTCTTTTCCCTAATCAAGGCATGTAAAGCATGCTCATTTCCTGCTTCAGACAATTTAAAAACTTGTCATGTTTTGCTTCAAGCATGTCAAGAGCACATTCATTTCCTGCTCTAGGCATTTCAAGAACTCGTCATTTCCTGCTTCAGGCATATCGAAGCATGCCCATTTTCTACTTGAAGGGACTGTAAAGAAAAACTGAAAGGGGGTATAGACTGAAACCTAAGTTCTATCTGATGTTCCTGTCTCGAGAAATAAAAAAAAAATGTGTCAAATTTATACAAAAATCGGTATATACCAAATTTTGTATAAAAATAGTAGGTTTAAGCAGATCATATTCAGCAAATACGCAACCAATTTGAAAACGACGATCGCTACTAATCTTACTTCTATCTGTTGCGTCTATAAGGAGAAAATGGTGAAAAACGACTCATAACGAAGAACATAGCGTCCATACAAATTCAGAAAGTTGCAATATTCGACTCGGATCGTAAGACATCATTTAATTCCAAAGAAATCATTCAAGTATTGCAACTAATAATAATCGATAAGATTTTGATACATTGATGATTGGTATATAGTAAATATTTCATAATTTTTTTATTTTTTTTTAAATTTAATGCACTTAAAACGACGATATTTTTCCGGTAGGTGTCTCTGCCACGTGAAATCATTCAGATCATCGAGAGCAGAGACACCTGGCGGCCAACTAATTGGCGTTTTAAGTGCATATTTCAAAAAACAAATAAAAAATATTATGTTAAATACCAACTAAATACAAATTCATCGAAAATTATCGATAATTGTAGTTTGTGATATTTGAATGATTTGTTTGGATTTAAATTGATTTTTATACGATCAGAGTCGAATATTGCAACTAAATTTGTATGAGTCATTTTTCACCATTTTCTCCTTAAAGACGCGCAATAGATAGTAGTAATTTTTCGCCGTAATCCTATAGTCCCTTTAATTTTTTGTTAACCTCCCGTTCAGGCATGTCAGAAGCTTGTTATTTCCAGCTTCTGATATGTCATAAACCTGTTATTGCACGCTCCAGGCATTTCAAAAACTTGTTATTTCTTGCTCCTGGCATGTCAATTTTTTCCTATTCTGGCATGTCAAAAACTTGTTTTTTTTCTGCACATTTTTTTTCTGCATGCCAAAAACTTTTTAGTTTTTGCTCCTGAAATGTCAAAAACGTGTTATTTCCTGCTCCTGGCATGTCAAAACCTTGTTATTTTACGCTCAAGGTATTTTAAAAACTTGTTATTTCCTGCTCCTAGCATGACATAAACATGGTAATTCCTGCTCCTGATTTCTTACTTCAGGCGTGCCAAAAACATGTTATGTCCTGCTCCGGGCAATGTCAAAAACCTGGTATTTCCTGCGTCTGGCATGTCAAAAGCTTGTTATTTCCTGCTCTTTGCATGACAAAAACCTGGCATTTCCTGCTCCTGGCATGTCAAAAACTGTTTATATCCAGCACCTGGCATGTCAAAACTTGTTATTTCATTCTCCTGGCATGTCAAAAACTGTTTACATCCTGCACCTAGGATGCCAAAAACATGTTATTTAATTCTCCTGGCTTGTAAAAACTGTTTATATCAAGCACCTGGCATGTCAAAACTTGTTATTTCATTCTCCTGGCATGTCAAAAACTGTTTACATCCTGCACCTAGGATGCCAAAAACATGTTATTTAATTCTCCTGGCTTGTAAAAACTGTTTATATCAAGCACCTGGCATGTCAAAAACTTTTTTGATTCATTCTCCTGGCATGTCAAAAACTGTTTATATCTAGCACCTGGCATATCAAAAACTTGTTAATTCATTCTCCTGGCATGTCAAAAACTATTTATATCCTGCACCTGGCATGTCAAAAACTGTTTATATCCTGCACCTGGCATGTCAAAAACTGTTTATATCCTGCACCTGGCATGTCAAAAACTGTTTATATCCTGCACCTGGCAATGCCTTAAGCTTGTTATATTTGCATTATGCACCTCTAATCATTCTTTTTATATTTGATTGATAACAATGAATTTCTTTAGTAATGCCTAATTTGAAGTGACCCTCCATGCAAAGATGACAATGTCCGATTTATAACGGTACCCTTAAAACCTTAATATTTGATCAAAATGTGGAAGATATCATCGTTTTTCTGACCCAAAAAAGTTTTCACTTGGTGGGTGGATTTTTGGTAACTAATTATTTGGTACCTAACAATTTGGAAACTAATAATTTGGTAAATAAGAATTTGGAAACCCGACAAAATGGAAACTAATAATTTGGAAACCGACAATTTGTATCTTGACAATTCGGTGACCTGATAATTTGGAAACCGACAATATTGTAACTAACATTTTGTATAATACAACCTAACCACAAATTTCGGCTAACAATTTATTAGTTAGATAAATAAGGCGCTCAGCCCAGATATTGTCTTGACCTAACCAATAACTCCACATATTGGATATCATTGTATTAGTTTTTAAAATATGGCCGCAGCGCTCAGCCCCCTAGCCTGTCCTGGCCGCACCGCTCGGCCCAGAAATCGTCTTAACCTAACCTAACCAAATTGCGAGGTTACCAAATTGTCAAGTTACCAAATTGTTCGGTTACTAAATTATCAGTTACCAAATTGTCAAGTTACCAAATTGTTAGTTACTAAATTTTAGTTACCAAATTGTAAGTCACCAAATTATTAGTTTCCAAATTGTTAGTTACCAAACTGTGTGTTACCAAAAATCCGCCAATCGTTCACTTCTGTAAAAACATTTATATCGAATTCACACTTTATAATACAAAACTGTTGTGAATCGGGCATTAGCATCTTTGCATGGAGGGTCACTTAAAATTACACTTACAATCCCTTTAAATTTAATTATAGTTTGATGTTAAATATTTGTATAGGTGGTGGACTGGCATCCTTCGTGTTTATGTATAAAGAATAGGCATGCAATCTGAGCTAAAAACTTTAGAATGGGATATCCTTAATCCCGATCGCTTAATCTGAGTATCCAATGTACACACTTTGATTTTCTTCCTAATCCCCTTTTTTGGATATCCCTATACTGTATAAAAGTTACGTTTGATAACAATTACAGATACAATGCTATATCAATTGGACTAATATCCGATTTAACTAATGTCAGCTGTTCACAAGCCGGCTTTTAGAGCATTTAAACAAATATAAATTTAATCATATTAATATGAAATTATTAAAAAAACATATTTTATCACATTTGAGGACTATAGCCATTTGAACGTTTGTCATAATAAACATTAATCCAAAACTTAAATTCGTTCAATCAATCATTAGTTCAATTGATATGACACCATCAACACCAGAAATGCGCAAAAATTAAAAACTGGTTTTTCAAAAGTTAATGAGCGTATCTGTAATCTCTAGAAATTAATCTAAAGAGTAAATTAGTCTTGATATTAGCAAAAAGAGAGGATCAAGTATTGATCTCGATATCCACCATTCTAAAGTTTTCAGCTCTGTTCACAAGCCGGCTAGAGCCATTTTGAACGTTAGTCTTAATAAACATTAATCCAAACCTTACGTTCGTTCAATCGATCATTAGTTCAATTGATATGACACCATCAACACCAGAAATGTGCAATAATTAAAAACTGGATTTCTAATCTCTAGAAATTATTCTAAAGAGTAAATTAGTCCTGATAATAGCAAAAAGAGAGGATTAAGCATTGATCTTGATATCCACCATTCCAAAGTTTTCAGCTCAGATGACTTAAGGTTACAGTGTACACTATACACTCCGTGCTAATGTACACTTGCGCTGTTTCTTGGCAATACGAAATCCTTGATCAAGCAAAGGTTAAAGGGTATCGTTGTAAATTGGACATGTCACTCTGTAAACGAAGGGTCACTTGAAATTATGATTACAGTCCCTTTAAGCTCAGGAGATATATACATGTACAAACATTACATTTTGTACATGTACATGTAACAAGATCTTGATGCTGTTCGTAGGTTAAAGTGCTCTGGAGAAAAGCAGCATCATCTGAAAAAGAGAAGAAAAAAGAAGTTTCACCAAAACCAGAGGTGGGATTTTAACAAAATAAAAAAATTCATATTGTAACCCCTTCAGTCCTCATACGGACCTGTAGCTAAGATGTAACAAGTATTAGCTCAATAGCTCGGGATAGGGATAGTTCCATTGATGTAACCCCTTCAGTTCTCATACGAACCTGGAGCTAAACTCAGAGTGGATAGTTCTATTGATGAAACCCCTTCAGTCCTCATACGGACTTGGACCTAAGCTCGGATTGCAAGTAGTCCTGCTTATAAACAAGAAAGCATATTGCTCTTTTGTATATAGCTATAGGTCGGACAAAAGGTGGGGCGGATGATAATTTGCCAACATGGAGAAATATTTATCCGTTAAGAAATGCCAACTCAGAGAACACAAGTTGGTTAATTTATCCAATAGGCAGTTCGACACGGCTTGAAAACGATGCAAAAGGAAATAGAATGAAACAAAAGTTAGCATGCACGAAGTGTCTGGAGACGAAAGTTAGCAAGCACGAAGTGTCTGGAGACGAAAGAGTAATTCGTCGTACGAGACAAATGAAAGGCGGAGAAACTGTCAGAGAGCTCCGACTTTCCATATGGATCATTAGTTTCATTTTATTTGTTCATTTTTCACTTGTAAATACATTTCTTCCTATAATCTATAACTCATGTCTGTTTCAGGCTTTAGATTTCCTTGATTTCATACCAGTTTTAAATGTTGCAATATAATCTCAAGTTGTGTTATTTGTCATTTTTCTTTAAATGTGTGGGGTTGAAAATCAGTCAGAAAAATGGATACAAAAGACCGAATTATAAATGCCCGATACGACATTTGCCGAAAGGTACTTTTGCCAGACATTTTCATCTGTCCGAACCGGAAAAAATGTCGGGATAATGTAGTGTCGGGAAAATGTAGTGTCGGGCAAATGTAATTCGGGCAAGTGTTCCTCCGGGATTTTGTAAGTCGACCTTTTGCAATTCTGGTTTTTGTATCCACTCCAAAAAATGAGGATACCTTAGTTTTCCTTGATCCTGGGTGTAAAGGTTACCGTTGTGAATCGGCCATGTCACTTTCTATCTGTATTGTAGTTGAGTGGTGCCTGGAAGGATTTAACGAATAAGATGATGGAGGAAAGATGGAAGGCGGAGGAGAGAAAGGAGATTATTGGAGAAGAGTGGAGGAAAATCTCTAGAATATTCGATAGGTAAAACAATTCAGGACTCGACTCAAACTCAAATTTTATTTATCTTTTATCTTTGCAACCTGATGATGTTTTCTATTTTAAACTTTAATCTAAATCAGAATCATAGTTTAAAATATAAAAGGTCTGTGACATCAGGTTGAGAAAATTAGAGTTATTAAAAATATAAAGTGATAACCAGAAAACAATGGAATAGGAAGGCGACATCAAAGCAATAATAAAGTGTATTAGATGTTCTTTCAAAGCTAATAGTTTTACTAGACACTCATTAAATAAATAATTTAGTAATATGGGTCCGTTTACACTACACAATTGCTGTGTCTCTTGCTTATTGGACTTTTTAAAGTTATAACTTTTTTTCCTTTTTCAGAGTTTTCTGGTTATCACTGTAATTTCTTCTTAAGCGAAAATATCTTTAATTTATTTAATTTTCAGGTTTTTATTGATTGTTTTTGTGATAATGTCACTGATAAACACTATCTGGTGTATTTTTACATCTCCGCATTTCCCCGACAGTGAAACTGATGATGAAGACATTCCTGATTTTAAATAAACATTGTAATAAAATACAGTACAGTACAGTACATTACAGCACAGTACAGTACAGTACAATACAGAACAGTACAGTACAGTACAGTACAGTACAGTACAGTACAGTACAGTACAGTACAGTACAGTACAGTACAGTACAGTACAGTACAGTACAGACAGTACAGTACAGTACAGTACAGTACAGTACAGTACAGTACAGTACAGTACAGTACGGTACAGTACAGTACAGTACAGTAATGTACAGTACAGTATATTATAGTTTAGTATAGTACAGTACAGTAGAGGACAGTACAGTACAGTTCAGTATAGTGCAATACCGTGTAGTACAGTGCTTTACAATGCATTATAATTCAGCACAGTACTGTGCAGTACAATACTGTGTATAAGAGTATATACAGAGTATAAAAATTCAGCACAGTATTGTACTGTACCGTATAGTAATAGTCCACTACAGTACAGTTCAGTACTGTACATTTTACTTCAGTGCAGTCCAGTACCGTTCCAAACTTAGAAAAGCTTAGGCTGATTTATTTTTTCTTGAATTACAGAGAGACCCATTAAACTATGAAATAGGAAGACATCAAGCCAATCTTATTGGTCTATAAAGCAAATGTTTTACAAGCTTGAACATTAACTAATAACTTAAGTCCATAGAACAGTCTGCTAGAGCTGTATAGTATAAATGGTATTTGGGCATTTTACAAAAAGAAAGAAAATGAAGAAATTTAGTTTGAAAAAAACGAAGTAAAGCAATTAATTTTCAAAATGTAGATTGAAACTTTGGAATGCATAGTCCGATTTGGCGTATTTTAGAAGGGATCAAAAATAGAGAATTTCCAATGAAAAATCTTTTGCATTGTAGCAAACACTTAGAGGAAAAATTTATGAAAGTTTTAAAAGTTATTTAAAAAACCTTTTTTTATTTCCAAAAGAATTTCTGAAATAAAATAAAACCATTTTCGTTATTTTTACATTTTTTGTTGTATCAATGCATTCCGTAAAATGATACTTATTTTGTTTTTTAATAAATTTTAAATTTTAAATCTTTTGCAAACTTAATTAATTGTTATTAATAAGCCAAGATTGTAATTATAGTCTCACCTTGTGTGGGTAACTCTGTATCTGATTTATTACATCTATATATATATATAAAGTTTGTGTATGTCTGTTTGTATGTCAATTCATAACTTTTGAACCCCTTGACAAATTTGTTTCAAATTTTGAAGAACTTGGGAGACCCACGGAAAAAATCTTAGCTTGGTTTTGAGATTTTAATTTAAGTACGCCCACTTGTATTGGAAAAATAGCTAAAATCGAAATTTTACAACTCGGGTTTCAAGCAAAAAGGAAAAGTCGTTTCGCGAAAAAAAAATTTATTTGCGACCTTTTCGTTTCATTTTTGCATTTCGTTTGCTCGCGAGAAATACGAAAATTTTCTTTTTTTCGCTAAATTTCGCTTCAATTTGTATCGAGAAAAATAGTGCTAAAATTTGCTAAAAAATAATGCGAAATTTGGCGTTTTCGCGAAACTTTGCTTCGTTTTCGCTTCATTTATTTTCATGAAAAAATGCGAAATTTCGCGAAAAAGTTTGCGAAATGCGACCGAAAATTTTCGCACTTTTCGTATTTTTTCGCGAAACGTTTTGTTCGCTGGAAACCCTATTTACAACCAAGCGCAGGTAAACGGCGGGGAGTAACTATGAGTACCCTCGGCAACACTGCAGGTTCTTAATCTTAAGCAAATATATAATATATTTAACTTTTGTCCAATCAGCTGATATTTATTTCTATGTTCTTTCTTGTTATTTGTTTAGTAAATGTATTATTTTAAAATTATCTTAAATTAAATATATATTCTCTAAAATTTATTTTGCTACATTTTAAGTAAGTTAAGGAATCAATAGTTTTTATGATAAATTAATAATAAATTGCGAAAATCTGCTTTTCACACTGTAGAAGATGTAAAGATGTAAAATGTTCTGAAAATGGGGTTTCTTTCTTTCTACTGAACACACGATGAAGTGTGTTTATATGTGTGTGTGTGTGGGGGGGGGGGGGGGNAAGGTGGTTAGGACAAACCAAGATTTTTTATTCGAAAGTGTTTTTAAATGAAAATAAAGCTAAAATTATAGTAACATTTTTTTCAGATGATTCTTAAACTTATCTTTTAATGCATATGTTACTGTTAGGGTTCAAAAGAGTCGGATGAACAAATGCAAATCTTAAAGCAATAATATGAAAATATATTTTGTCAAATTTTGTAATTGGCGAAAATTCAAAAAGAAAGAATAATACAATTTTGCACCTTAAATATAATTTTTATGGCTCCAAGCAAATAGTTTAACTCGATGTTAGAAATACCACGTTTCTTTTTAAACAGAATCTATTTTTTATTCATTTAGTTATTCATATTGATATTTGGTATTTCTCTATATATTAATATATTATTCATTGTTCATGTTTTAAAAAATCGTTTTTCTTGTAGTTGTAAAAGCAAAAACAGTGAAGTAATTATCGTCTTGGTTTTTTCTTTCAATGTCGTTGCTGAAGATTTTGTAATGATTAAAATTTTTTTATATTAGGGCACATTTAAAAAAACTAATTTGTTAAAAATACCAAAATTCTTATTGTCACTTTTTTAGACAAATAAATTAGACAGAAGGTTGGCCACTATATATTCTTTTTTATCGTTATTCGTTATCTGAAAATATAAACAATTGTTGAAAACTTGTCAGGTTTTTGATTTTATTTCTATTTTTAAAGGTAGAAGCCTTAAAAATGATGTTGTAAATTTTGATTGGTTATATGTTAAGGTGAATTAAAAAATGCTGTGGGAAATTTTTAATTTCTCTTAATTGGTTAATTGTTTTATTTTAAATAATAGTACTTATATTCTTTTAAATCATGGACTCTTATCTTTAACATACAGGGTGTCCCAATAAACATGGTAGAAAGTCGTCTTCGATTTATGATATTTAATGCATGGCAAAGCAAGTAAAAAGACGAGGCTGTACGTCTGACGAACTTTTAATATAATGGTCTACCTTTCTTGTATCTTAAAAATTGACGAAGATATTAGATATTAAGACAATTTTGATTTATTAAATAAATTGAAGTTTGTACAAATTTTGCAGTATCTCCGTCAATTTTGCAGATACAAAAATGGTAGTGCACATTTTGAAAATCTCAAGACCAGGGGATTTCGATATTAAATGTTTGAGGTGGAACACTGCAATAATTGTGCTCATGAAAAAATGACACATGGATCGAAGACGATGTAAAAGTCGTCACTAAATTCCTAAGTTTATTGGGAACTTTTGTGTTTAATACCCTTAATCCCTTTCACTTAATCTCGATATCCACTGTAGACACTTTTAATTTTTGCTTAATCTCTTTTTGGGGGGATATTCTTGCTGAGATCTGATCAATGAGAGTTCTCTAATTTATGGCACCCAAAATTTTTTTTATTATTGTATACAACTGTATATATAGGCTAATATACCTGGTATGAAACCTTGTGGTTTAGATTGCCCAACTTGTCCCTACATCGAGCCGGGAACAGTTATACAATCCTCTAATACCAGCTCTAATACCAGCAAGAAGATTGAGTTGAATGGAACTTTCAACTGTAAGACCAGAAATGTAGTTTACTGTATTACATGTGAGAAGTGTATACTACAATATATACTATATTGGACAGACAAAAAGATCTTTAGATGAAAGAGTGAGAGTACATATTGGTTACATTAGAAATCTCCATACAAACCAGCCTACATGAAAACATTTTAACCTTCCTGGACATGAACTCTACCATCTAAAAGTAAGCGTACTAGAGAAGGTTTGGGACCTTGAAGAAGTTTACTTGAAGTACAAGAATTTAAATACATCAGAAATTTTGTGACTGAACTCAGAGGAATGAACAAAAAAACCAGTTTTCTTTTTAATTGTAAACTGTAATTCAGTATTCAAAAAAAGAGTATTGTTTATGTCCAATTCTTTCAAAGATTTAAATACCCCTCCTTAAACAAGCCGCCCCCGCCTGATTTAAGTAAAACTTCGTTAATTAGATGGACCCCCACAGGCCACAACCACTCTTTACACTTTACAAATAAACAGCTAGTTTTTAATTTTCCTGACAGAAACAATCTCAAGGAATAATAATTGTCTTAAAACATTCTTTAAAAAATGAATATTTGCAAATTATCTTTTTCCATCTCATGATCTGAGTTCGTTCCTCTTTTGCCCATTTATAATATTTTTTTTAAATAACCTTTTTTGTTTGTTTTTTCTTGTAGTTTTTAACATTTTTACTATAAATTTTGATGGTTATTATATCGTTAGAATTGACAAGGGTCAACCTAGACCGAAATATATTTTTAATAAAATGTAGAACATATACTTTTTTTTAATTTAAAGAGGTTTGTTCCATCGCCATCACCGAATTTTAAATATAATTCTATTTCTTTTTGGGAACCACTGCACTATCGATTTAATTAAATTCTATATTTTTGCTTCAAATAATTTAGTTTAAACTGATGCAGGCATTTTTTATTGATGCAAGATTGAATACATCATTTTCGAATGTCGAATTGATTGGTATCAAAAGTGCAAATAAAATTGATTTAAAAAGATTTTTTTTTTTTCACTTTTGCAAAATTTTATGTTTATTGACATTACAGATGTTCTTGTCAATTACAAATATTTTTTAGATAGGTGGTTTGAAAGTTTTAATGTTAACGTTTTTTTTTATTTTCAATCAATTATATTTTAAGTTACAGTATAAGCAGTTATGAATCATATCAAATCAGCTTAATTGATAGAATTGAAGATTAAAAGCATGATTATATAATTTAAATGGTAAGTGTATAAGAACATCAAAAAGTGTGATTTGACATATTCAGAGTACAAATAAATATGTAAAATTTAAACAACTAAAATATGGATTTCGTCAGAATCCTATCAATTTTAGAAAGATATTTACGACAACGAATATAGAAATTTAATTTTTTGCAATAATTGTACGAATTCCAATTGCTGCGAAATATATGAAACTTCTAAAATTGCAAAAAGCTTATTCTTCCAACATCCGAACATTCATTATAGAAAATATTTTCCATGCCAAAAACATAAATACTACAAAGCAATCTAACACTTGAAAAAAGATTCAAGGTTAATTAAAGACGCAAAGGTGCAATGTAAAAAAAAACTCAGAACGATAAATTCGACTCATCACTTTTTTCATCACTAAAACAGAGTGCTTTTCGTAATACAATTATTGATCAAGCATCTCAACTACTAAGTATAAATTTTGACGTTTATGATCTATTGAAAAATTCAAATTTTTGTTTTTGATTTGAACTTCAGAGAACTTCAAATAAAAATTGGCAAGTACCTCATTATAGTTATACCTAAATATTTAAACAATTCCTTTTTTCGATGACTTCTCAATCTATGTATTACGTTTATACAATGTCTTTGTAACAATTAAACTTTAAATTTGTGCAGTGAACTGATTACTTCTTGTTGTTCATCATTTGTCTGAATTCATCAAAGTCCAGCTTCCCGTCACCGTTTGTATCAAACTTGGCCATTACTGCATCAACCTAACAATTATCAAATAAAAATAAAAGATTAAAACAAATTTTTCTTCACGTGGTTTCAGGGGCGGATACAGGATTCAAGTGAAGGAGGTGTTAGATTTATTTCGGAACAAAAAAATCCATATTTAGGAACAAAAAGATATGCCGCATTCTGAAATCTCAGAGGGGTGTTAAGGTCCTGTCCCCCCCCCTGTATCCGCCTCTGCGTGGTTTACACTTTAACTTTTAAGGGAGTGTAAGAGTAATTTAGAGTGTCGACCATCTAGGCAAATATACCAATTCCAGATTTACAATCCTTGAAACAGTTTTCTGATAAAAATATCTCGTTTATTTCTTTGAAGTTCTCCATTGTTCCTTATAAGCCAAAAAAAGGCCAACCTTCGTTTGCAGAGAACCCACAAATGAAAATAAATAGTTTAAAGAAACAAAAACATAAATACATAAATCATACTTTTGGTAATGGTCAAAGCTTTAAAGGGTATCGTTGTAAATCGGACATTACCATTTATGCATGGATGTTAACTTATAATTACGCTTACAGTCCCTTTAAACTTATCGCGGGTTTCTTACTATTATAACTTTTTTTAAAAGAAAGAATGGAGTCAAGGTGGACCTTGAAATCAAATCATGTTCAAGTATTGATCATCGATAGAAAACACGTATTTTCAAAATTCAATTATTATACAAATAAACAACGAGTAGAAAGAATAAAAAATTGATAGGATTGGAAAGAAAGCATCCCAGACTTTTTTCTTTATTATAATATTAAAACCCTTTGGAAACATCTCGGTAAATTCTTTTTAATCTGTTATCAACATTTTTGTTTGGTTCTGGTATCAATTATCAATTCATCTGAACTAGATACAACTTCTTGTTTAAATTAAATTGTAATTTTTAATTCAGTTTTTAAAGGAAATGTCGGCGTAAATTCAAGTTTCCTCCATTTCAAGGGTTCACAACGGTCCCCTTTTAACAATTTTCTTAATGTTTTTTAAACTGAAAGTTTATAACTTAAATATTGTACTCTATTAAAGTGACTTGTGGATTTATGCTGCAACGACAAGGAAACCGAACTTGACAGTATTTGTATCCTATTATGACAGGAAAACCACGATCGTTGTGAATCGGGCTTCACATAACTCTTTTAATGGAGTGTCCCTTAATATTAAACCGACATGGTTCCTTTGATAAAGATGTCCGCCATATTTATGAAATGGAAAAAATCAGAATGTGTTTCAATAGAATGAATATAACATATGTGTATTGTGTAGCCATAAAAAAGTTTAATAACAAACCTGTTCTTTCTTCAGATTTTTCGCTAATTTCTGAAACTCAGCTTTAGAAATATATCCGTCCTGGTTCTTGTCAGCCACCTATATTTACAAAATTTAGAAATACATCTGTTCTGATTCTTGTCAGCAACCTATATTTACATAATTTATAAATATATCTGTTCTGATTCTTGTCAGCCACCTATATTTACAAAATATAGAAATATATCTGTTCTGATTCTTGTCAGCCACCTATATTTACATAATTTAGAAATATATCCGTCCTGAGATGGAATTTAAAGAATTTGAGCCGCGGTTTAAATCCGCCAAAACCCGGCTTAAATCTTGAAACATTTGGTACAATTTTAAGTGGAACCAACCATATTAAAGCCGCGGCTTAAATTTAAACCGACGCTCAAATTCTTTAAATTCGGCCACAGGTTCTTGTCAACCACCTATGTGAGGATTAAAAATATCGAACAAAAATAAGGATTTTTCTCAAATTAAATTTTACCATAAAAATCAGCAAAATCTTATAAATTTTTTTGTTGTTCTGCAAAAATCTATAAAAAAAAAATTCTTGCACTAAAGTAAATTATTGCAAAAGTCTGCTAAAGATGAAGTGGTGCTAAATGTCCTAAATCTTGAAGTTCATGTATTTTAATAAGTTAACCTTAAAAGCTAGCTCTGCCTTACTGGTCATCTCTAGGCTTGAGACCACCCCGTCCCTGAAAAAAACATATTTTTTAAATTTTCATAATTTTTATAAAATACCAGGCAGTTGGTTTTTTAGAGTCAGTCGTTTTAATTAAAGAAAACATTGGACATCATCCTTAAAGGGGCTGTTTAGTAATTTCAATTGACCCTTTATTATTAAATAGAGTGGATTTACAACGATGCTCTTTAAACCTTATAAATTCATTTTGAGCAAGATATTAACGTTAATTTCTAGCTGGACAAGTTTTTAATTCTGATCATGTCTTCATTTTTCTGCAGAAGAAATCCAATTTCGTAGAAACACTGGAATCAAAATCATCAGTTTTTAAATAGAAACTTATTCATATCACAGACAAAGCTTAAATGGTACTGGTGTGCATTGGAAAACCAATTTATATATGGATAATCACTTAAAAATTCAAAGCATAGATATTAGAAAATCTCCAATAAAAACCTGTTTTTGTCGAGGCTTTTCCAAAGCTCAGATTCCTTCGTGTACAACTCGAAATCATGCTTCGTAACCTACAGGATTAAGTATAAAAATAGATTTTACAATTGTAGATATGACGGTTTGCTGTTAACCCACAAGCTTTTCTCACTCCTGTATGCCGAGTAAATTAGCGCCTGATCCAATCAGGGTTCAGTCATGTGTTTGTTGTCTATTCTGTACCAATAGAAATAGTATGGCGGTAACATTTATCTTTCTATCTATCTCATTATCCAATCAGTTATGAATCCTTCAATCGGCGCTATCAGTAGATGGAAAACTTTCGATTTCTATTTCGGCGGACATTTTTCAATTTGGTTTCCATCTTTACTGGAAAGAAAATTTTCCGGTTAATTTAATTTTTGAAATGAATTTTTCCGGGAACAATCACTTTAGTTTCAGTAGAAGTAAATATTTCCATTTAGTGTATAGCGCCGATTAAAGGATTTATTTCTAATTGGTTAATGAGATAGATAGAAAGATAGATGTTACCGCCATTCTATTTCTATTGGTTCAGAAAAGACAACAAACACAGGGCTGAATCAGGCACTAATGGAGTGGCATACAAGAGTGATGCCAACTAATAAATAAATATGCCCCCCCCCCCCTACTACTGTTGAAAAAACCTTGTTTGCATTACAAACTGACAATACTGTTTTGACAGTTAACTGTTATTGAGAAAATTGTTGAAGTTGAAATGTTTTTAAATATTTTTGCAAAAAAATATATTTGCATTTAGCCCAAGAAGCATAGAAAATAAAATTCAAAAAGGTAAACCTTTCAAACATTTAAAATACATATGTTATATGTGTAAATGGAAGAAAGACACTTTACCAGACAATGACAATACCAAAAATATAAAAATAAATTTTACATCTGTAGATGAATTAACATAAAAGTTATCGACTATTTTAAATTTTTTTGAAACACCAAACCCCTATTTGATTGTCCGATCCACCATATCTTCGGCATGCAGTTTTTTTGCTATAAATTTGTGCACAAGAATTCTCAATTATGAGGTTAACAAAGTGAAAAAGTTTGAGCGTTCTTGTGTTAACTTTTTTTCATTTATGGAGAAAAACCATGGGGGGGGGTACCCCCCACATTGTGATAGTGTTAAATTTTAACGAATTTTTGTAGGATAAAACTTAATTTATAAATTCTTAACTTGAAGTTTAATCAGCTGATGGATTTCCATATGATTAATAATAGTTTTAAAACAAAAATTATGATTTTGCATGATTTGGCTTTATTTATAGGGTTGAAAGAAAAGATTGCATGACTGCATTAATTGATGAATAAAGAGGAATACATAAATGTGTGAAGGAATTTTTCTTTCCTTCGCTAAAATTTTGAAGTTTTAATACATCATGATGCATCATCTAAACATATTTGATAAAAAAGGTGTCAGAATTTATTCAATTAATTTGGTCTGCATGAAAATAAAATTGTATTTTTTAAAGTTTAAAGGGACTATACGCGTAATTTAAAGTACTTTAAGCATGCAAAAACATTGCCGGCATATAGTTTAATGCATATTTACCCTCCCCCCGGGATATAATGTATTATTTACCTCCCCCCGGGATATAATATATTATTTACCCCTGCCCCGGGATATTATGTTTTTTACCTCCCCCCGGGATATAATATATTATTTACCCCTCCCCCTGGGATATTATGTATTATTAACCTCCCCCCGGGATGTATTTTATTATTTACCCCTCCCCCCGGGATATAATGTATTATTTACCTCCCCCCGGGATATAATATATTATTTACCCCTGCCCCGGGATATTATGTTTTTTACCTCCCCCCGGGATATAATATATTATTTACCTCCCCCTCTTCATCTGCAAACCTCTTCAAGTGCTCTAAACAATATTTTTATAATATTACAGTGAGACCCATAAAACTGTGGAAAAAAGCATGGACAACTTTTACTTTCATATTTAAAGAGTTTAAGGTCGTCATTCAAGTTGTATTCTTCATTCTGACTTTTCTACATGAATAATATAAAGGGTTTAAGAAACGAAATAAAAACTGAGAATTAGAATAGAAATAGCTACTTATTTCATACTTCTGATTAAAAAATTGAGAATTTCAATAGAAATAGCTACTTATTTCATATCTCTGATTAAAAAATTGAAAATTAGAATTGAAATAGCTACTTATTTTATATCTCGGATTAAAAATTGAGAATTTCAATAGAAATAGCTCCTTTTTTATCTTACTTAAATGTTGTGACATTTAAATACAGGGTGTCCCAAAAACATTGGAATTTATTAATTTGTTATGAATTAGCATTATAATACCTAATTTCAACAGACATAATAATATTATGTCTCCTAGAATTTATTTAATGAAAAGGGTAAACGACTGCAAAGATGTGTCTATAATGTCTCCGCAAGATGAACAGTGAAGACGGACAAGTTTACTCTGTTTGTATACTGCAATATTCTTGTTTTACTAAGTACAACCGTGTGCAGTCAAAACATAAACAAACAAAATGTGAACATAACAGACGAAACTCTTACAGATCACAACTTTCTCATTAAGTATCACTATACTAAATCAAAGAATTATTTTAAAAGACGATATCGAATTCGTCTCTGAATTCCCATGTTTATTGGGACACCCTGTATTTTGACATTTGATGACATTTAAATCTTAACCGTTGCCCTTGTGAAGAAGATATTTGGAGGATGTATTTATAATGATTCTTTTGATATTCTTAAAGATATTTTGGAGGATATTTATAAAGATATTTTGGAGGATATTCATTATGAGATTTTGGAGGATATTCATGAAGATTTTTCGGAGGATATTCATAAAGATATTTTGGAGGATATTTATGAAGATATTTTTTAGGATATTCATGAATATAGTTTCGAAGATATTCATAATGGTATTTTTGAGATTATTCATGAAGATTTTTCGGAGGATATTCATGAAGGTATTTTGGAGGATATTCATAAAGATATTTTTGAGGATATTCAAGAAGATAGTTTCGAGGATATTCATGAAGATGTTTTGGAGGATATTTTTATGAAGATTTATTTGGATGATATTCATAAAGGTACTTTGGAGGATATTCATAAAGATTTTTTGGAGGATATTGAGGGGGGGGGGGGGTGAACAAATTAGTAAGTATTTTAAAAAGTTACCTATTTCAACCTCGTCTACTTCAATATCGTGAAGTTTCAATTCTTCCACAAAATCACGGATAAAGATTTTACCTGAAAAATAAACTGATAATTATAAATCTATAAAATTTTTGAGTTTTAATACTCCAATGAACATGATACACGGTAATTGTGCAGTGTGCTCAGGCCCATTTAACTCAATTACTGATTTTATAAGTTGCTGGTAAAACTCTTTGCTTTGTAAAACATCAAATAAGCTAAAATAGTGCCATGATGTCGTCTTCTTATTCCACAGTTTTATAGTTCTCACTGAAAAATAAATGTTTAAAAAAGGAACGATTAGTTTTTGGATCTTGATTAAAGTATTTAAATTACGTGGACGTTGTTGAACCAATTCTCTTGAACTTGAACTTTGCAGGCTCAAGAGAAGGGGTTTAATTTAGTAAATAATGCAAAGATAGTTTTCGCTATTGGTTGCATGATTCGAACCATTGAACTGCGTACACATTAATGCGTACCAGCACGTCTAGTGAGCCGTTTAGTTTACCCAGCGCGTTTTATGCAAGAAATAAATTTAGTTTTTGACATAGATTTAAATTTTCTTTGCAACCTGATGACTAAGACTATTTAATTTAACAGGGTTGCCTATACAAAGGGATTAGAAAATCAGAGTTTGCGACAAAAACTTCATTGTTTTAGAGATTTGCTGGGTACAATGTCACTCACTAGTTTTATCATAGAGCAAAAATGTTTCATTGTTGAATCAAATTTTTCCAGTATAAAGAACAAAATGTTATACAAATTCAAATCTAAAAATTAAGTTTAATGGTCATCGATTAATGGAAAAAAAACGAAAACAGAAGTAAATGCATAAAAATAATCACTAGATTTCCAAACTTACTTGTGTTTTTTATACGCCCTTTATAGTGTAGACTAATCATTTTATCCGCCCTTTATAGTGTAGACTTACCATTTTATCCGCCCTTTATAGTGTAGACTTACCATTTTGATTATGATCGAACTTAGTAAAGATTGACTCGAACGCTTTCAGCCGAGCGCGTTCTGTGAGATTTCGTTTCATTGCCATGACCGCCATTTTTATCTGAATATTTTCAAAATATTAAATTTATTTTTTATTATGTGTATAATATTTTTTCTTAATATTCTCATTTACTTAATATTATTTTATGCTTAAAGCTTACAAACATGAAACAAGTTGTTTATGTCACTTTAAACCAATATTTCATCCATTATTTACGACACATTTGAAGTTTACAATATCTGTATATTTATACAATAAATGTATTATAAAATTACGGAAATATTTATTTCTTAAAACATTGAACAAGACTTTGCTCGGATAAAAACTATTATTTTCTTTACCCTAGGTCAAAGTTATAAATAAACTACTATTGGGGAAATGTCGAAGATCTTGTAATAAACTTTATTTTATGTTTTATACTTTCTCTCTCCACATCCTTTTCTTTACATTTTTTCTGACACAAACAATATTTTTGGTGAACTTTTTCACAGAAATGATGGAAGATGTTCAAAGAATCTAATCTAAAGTCAAATTCGTTCTACTTCTACGGTCCATGCATGACAGACACCACAAAGACAAACTTCTGAAAGAATGACTTCTAAAAGATAATCTATTATTGGACAAACTCCCCAAAAGACAAACTCTTGAAAGACAAACTATTGAAAGAAAAGCTCTTAAAGAAAAATTCATAAAAGACAAAGTATTGAAAGACACCCTTTTGAAAGACAAACACTAAAGGACAAATTCATAAAGACAAAATCTTGAAAGAAAGACTACAGAAAAATAAACTGCTGAAAGACAAACTTCTCATAGACAAACTCAGACAAACTTCTGAAACTTCTGAAAGACAAACTTCTGAAAGAAAAACTTCTGAACGACAAACTTCTCATAGACAAACTCAGACAAACTTCTAAATGACAAAGTCCTAAAAAACAAACTCCCAAAAAACAAGCTGCTGGAAGACAACCTTCTATAAGTACAGACTTTTATAGTTTTCTTTTCCGCATTGCTCGGACCCCTAGTACATTCTAGACGCAGCGCTCAGCCTAGTACATTCTAGACGCAGCGCTCAGCCTAGTACATTCTAGACGCAGCGCTCAGCCTAGTACATTCTAGACGCAGCGCTCAGCCACGCACCACTTGTGGGGCGACAAACGGCCTATTCTAACTAACTGAACAAATACCAAATATAAATATTTCATCTGAAACTTGTATAAAAAGTTTGATCTTTTAAATGTTTGTTTTTCCGAATTATTTTGTAATTTAAAGTTTGTGGTATGGCGCCGCTACTACTAAACATAATAATTTTACAATATTTAAATGGCTGCTGCCATAATCCAATGTCATTGTATGCCAATGGATTCTACTTTTATAGATACTAAACAAAATATATTAGATCATAAAAGCTCTTATTTGACTTGTCTATGAATTCTAATTTTCTAACCGTGAAACCTTTGCTATTTCAAACAAATTTGCTAAATATAATAACCAAACTTTAAAATATCAACAGCTTTCGCAATCAGGTTGCAAAGAAATAAGGATTAGAATATTAGAGTTTGTGGTAAATGTTGATTTTCTTTTCTTTAAAGCAAATTGCTGTATTAGAAAAAAAAACAGTTTCCATCAATTATATAAAAGAAAAATTCGTTTGAAAGTTAAAATTTCTTTAAATATCCACTACTTCCAACTCTGCAGACAAAGAATCGCAAAGCTCATTTTTCCCCCGCATTATTAGCACATCAATAAAAAAAGTTATCCTAACTCTAGCAATAATTGTGCACATGTTAAACGCTTTAAAAGATTAAAATAAAATTAATTTTTAAAACATTAAAACAAATATTTTTGATGTTAAGCTGTTTTTTTCTCTCAATTCTTTTTGGATGAAGAAAAATGGCTTTTTATTGTGAATTCAGAGTCTACGGAAAAGAAACCCGAAAAATAATCAAAATTTTTTTGACTATTCAGATGAATTTTTAAATCAGTTTCTTTGTTACGAAGAGAATCTCATGAAACATGAGTTTTTAAAAGAGATTTTCTTAGAATGAAATTGTACAAAAGAAAATTGCAACATGAAACATCAAAGTCTGGTAGGAACATTTTTACAAATTATTTACATATTATCATTTACAGATTACATACAATACTTTATGCAAACTTCTATTTAATCCTTTTTTAAAAACAGAGCTAAAAAACAAACAAAATGGACCATTCTTTTAGTAAAAGTAGTTTACTTTAGTTCATTGTTCAGGAAAAAGCTTTGCTGTTTCCCAAATATAAGTTACAAAGAACAATTTATCATACTCTACACAGTGTCTTTCAGAACTTTAAAAATAAACGATATCCTGCAAAAATACTTGAACATTTGTTTGGAATATCTATATTAAATAATAGTTTTGGGGGTATCACGTGGTAATGATGTATCAACAAACCAACCATCCACCGATCCATCCAATCAACCAACCAACCATCCAAACAACCATCCAACCAACCAACCATCCAATCAACCAACCAACCAACGAACCAACGAACCATCCACCCAATCAACCGACCAACCAACCAATCGACCCCAAACAACTTTTAGTTTTGTATTTTTATTATTGAGCTTCAGGCGCTATTTTAAGTAACCCTCCATGAAAAAATGGCAATTTCCGATTCACAGTGGTACCCTTAAAAGCTGTGCCTGATCAAGTATGAATTATAAATATATTATTTTGAAATCAAAATATTGTGGTTTCTCTACACAAGTGTCTTGCACATTTCTACTGCAGGAAAACAAAGACGAATCATCAGAATAAAACTTTTAAACTGAGAAAAAACTATGATTAAAAAGTAAACGGTTGTGAATCGGACATTGGCATCTTCGCATGGTGGGTACCTTGAAATAACTCACAATCCCTGAAATACTTGTGACAAATCTGTGGATAAAGAAGATAATATTTCCCCTTCTTAATGCATGTTTTCTAATACTTTCTTGTAATAATATTAAACATTTTCTATCACATAACCAACAACAAAACTCAATTCTATTAAGAAAAATACGACTTACAGCTAAATATGTATCTTGTATGCAATTATACAAATTAGTTAGCAGGGTGCAAAGGTGCAAAGTGCAAAGGGTCTGATTATTGGCCAAAACTTTAATTTAGCTAAACCCTCTTTGCAACCTGATGATGTAAACCTTAAAAATTTTAAACTTTTTATATTTTATCTAGCTGAAGAAACAGAAATATCAAAGGTTGCATCTTGCAAAAATATAAGGATTTAAAAAAATCGGTTTCTTTAAAAATAGATTATTAACGTGGTTTTTTTTAATTAAAAAAGGCAAATGTTACCCTTCATTATTAAAGTGGAATGTTCTATAAACAACGGTAGTTTTAACATTTTATTACGATCAAGAATAAATGAAATATCCTAGATTTTCTATAAAAAAATGATCACTTACATTTGTGGTTTCTCTGTAAAAGTAACTTTAACACCTGAGACGAGAAAAGGAATTTAACACTTTTCCAACTTAGTAATTTAAAAATCTTGCGTTAAACTAGAAAACTTGTTTTCTGTTTCATTCATTAGTTTTTACCTCCGGCACCTTGAAAGATATATAAATATTAAAATAGAAAGGTATGGTGGGTACTTCAAGTAAAGATTTGTTAAATAAAACAATACGCAAAGATTAAAAAAAATACTTTAATAGTAAATAAAATCTATAAACAAAGCTAAATGGGAGAGTTGGGTTGGGTTATGCCACATAGCCCCCCCCCCCTGGATGACGAGAATGTTTGAAGAAAACATCATTAAGAAAGTGGTATTGTAAAGTAAAAGTGTAAAATCTAATTAATTAGAGAGAAAAACAACATGTTTACTACTCTATCTAGTGACAGTGAGTAGTATGTATATTGGGTTATGACCCCAAAGGAATTGAGTCTTTGCCACAAACTCTGATTTTCTAATTACTATAGTTTTTGTAATCAAATTCCTAAGACTTTAAACATTTCAAATTATGTATTCTGTCAGATCAAATAATTTAAGTTTGAAATACTAAAGGTTTACACAATTAGGTTGCAAAGATATAATGATTAGAAATTTGAGTTCGTGACAAAGACTTAATTCCTTTTCAAAAGATACAGTACTTGGTATTTTTTAACATAACTATGTAAAAAATGCATTCTTTGATAAATTACCACATTTATTTACCTACACAGAAATATTTGACTTGCAATGTAAATTAGTATTATCAAGGTAACCTCCAAATACCCTTTAAACCTTTAAAGAAAAAGTTTTTAAAATTGAAAATAATAACTCTTAATTACAGTTTGGTGACTTGTGATTTATCTGAATTTATTTTTATTCAAGATGAAAAAACAGAAAAACAGAAAACAGACAATATCTTTCTAATTAATTGCAATTTAATAAAGAGTTGAGGGTACCGTTGTAAATCTGGCATGCCACTCCTTTTTTAATTAAAATGAAGGTTCATTTGTGTCGATAGCCTCCTTAAAGAAAAGTGGATCCTGAGGCCTGATCTCCCTGATCCGTGGTTTAAATTTAACCTGCTGCTCAAACATGGTTGGTTCCACTTAAATTTGTATTAAATTTTTCAAGATTTAAGCCGGCGGTCAATTAAAACCGGTTTTAGGGTTATTTGAGACGTGGCTTAGATTCATTAAATTCGGACACTGTTTGAAAAGGAAAAATAACAAAATTAAAAAACTGATTTTTTTTTTTGTTATAACAGGGGCCGAATTTAATGAATCACCGATTCAAATCCTTTTATTTTTGTAATATGAATTAAATTAAAGTAAATGGAAAACTTTTCTTTCCTTTTATTTTTGTTCCATGAAAGCTAGATAAATATAAGTCAAGTTTAAATTTAAAATACTTTTTTTTATACAAAATATAGAACACTTTATTCTTTCTCCGCTACAGTTGTAAAATCATAAATTCTAAATCTAGTATCTACTATAGTTGCATTCATGCAAGTCGATGAAACCCTTCCTGGGAAAAAATTTAATCAATTTGAGCTACTTCTCTGAACTACCTACAGCCAGTTCAAATTTAA